CTCTCTCTCTCTCTCTCTCTCTCTCTCTCTCTCTCTCTCTCTCTCTCTCTCTCACACACACACACACACACACACACACACACACACACACAACCGCACAGACACATACGCACATTAAAAGGGAAACAGGAAAAAAAAAACAAAAATAGTGAGTGGGCGAGCACATTTTTGACATCACCATCTTTGGCAAACTTTCCGTTTTTTTTTGGATCAGCCAAATGCCCTGAAAATTTATAGGTGTGTACCCTACATGCTACAGAACTCACCAAAAAAAATAATGGTAAATAAATAAAAATAAAAAATAAAAATTTTAAGCTCCGAAATGATTTTTGGCAGGGACTGAACTTTGGAAAGATCGCCCCCTTCACCCCTCCCTCACGTTCGGGCGGGTAACCCTGCCAATATATCGTCAAACAGAGCTGCCCGGTAAACCGTAGGCAGAGAGGGACAAGAGAGAGAAGAGGACAACAAACGAGGGGCTGTGACAAACTTTTTCATCGGAGTTTCACCTATCTACTCATCATCAGGAGGAGACTGAACCCTCAACAGTCTGCAGAATCCCCTGGCTGATTACACTGGAAGTGATAATTTATGTTAACCCCCATTGTGGGTAAGCATCAACGACTGCCGGACAACTGATACCCTGAGGTGGGCACCAACCACTGCCCTCAAGGTACCTGTGATGGAAATCAAAGCAGACTGTCACTCACCCACACCAGATAGAAAACTCTACAGACTGTCGGTTCACACCCCATCACAAGCAACAAGCAAGCAAAACACCCACGAAACAAAGAAAGGTATGTCACAGACAAAAAATACACTCCAGACACGTCACTGGCACTAGAGTGTACTTATATCATCCCTAGCAGGGATGTCTAGTGCGTAGTCGTTCAGGTGCGCAGCGTACGTGTCAACACATGTATAACTTCATTCCCTGCTGATGATTGTCTGCACAGACACATTCTTCACTAGATGACCTGTTGCGGCTTCGCTCGCAAAGAAGAAGAAGTTGCATGGCAATAAGAGGGGCGTCGTCAGGGAAGGGGGGGGTGGGGAAGAGGGGCCGTGGGCCCTGTTTTGGTGGTGGCATACCTGTTGAGTGTTCTGAGAGCTGTTCGCAGGCGCTGTTTTTGCTCAGATGTGGCGTTTGAGGTTCCTTGTGTAGAACCACTCCTATTCTGAAGTGAGTTCTGTGGCAATCCGTCCTACCTGTTGCAGCTTCGCCCGCAAAAAAAATGAAGGGTGCAAATGAGGGTGGGTGGGGATTTGTTGGTCCGGGTG